GAGCGGTGCAACTCTCTTGGCAGCGGCAACTGCAGCAGCCGGAACCTGTCAGTGAACCCGCACGCATAACTGTCTCCCATGACGCGACAAACCCTTCGGATCTTCGGTCGTGGTGGTCTCAGTAATGGTAGAGTCCGCTTCGCCCTCTGCGCCATCATCCATGGAGAAGGCCTGAGGAAGAGGCGCAGGCTTCTTGGAGGTACTCGATACGCCAGACTGACCAGGCTTATTGATCGATAGACCACCTTTGAAGCTGAGTGTGACAGGTTTGTCGGTAACTGGAAGTGCAGACGCTTCGATCGCGGGTCCTTGTGCAGACGTATCTGCAACTGCCAGTTGAGAGACATATGCGTGAAGGAGCAAGATAGGATACATACCTTTCTTCTTTTTCTCCTTCTTTTCTTTGACTACAGGGACAGGTTCGGCAGGCTTAACGGGCTCCTCTACTTTGAACTCAAGCACGGCAGCCGTGGATGCTTCATCCCAGTAGCGCAGCCAAACGCCTTCCGTGCCGCCTAAGCTTGACGAAGACAAGATGCACGCTTCGTCACGTAGTGAGTAGTCGGGCAAGGGCTGGAATGAATACGGATGTGCGAAGGAGGCGGCTACTGGACGATCAGAGATGCGGAACCCATTGGGATGCAATTGAGGAGACATTGTGGCCGCCAACACCGCAGAAGCCGACTGGTATTCGCTGTCAACAGTGCTCGAAGGGACGATGGGGCACATCACGCACCTGTACGTCTACAAACTCGACGAACGCGAAACCCCAGCTTGCAGTCGTCACTTTATCCTTGATCAATATGATCCTGCGCATGCCCTTGGCTCCTTCTTTACCAGGACCTGCGGACATCTTCATCGCTTGGGCGATGGCCTGCGGACCGGAGAGAGGATCAAGCCCGCGGAAGAGCAATACGGGAGCCTGCGTGTTCCCGATATCGCGAGTGCCGTCATTGGACTGGAACGGTCCTTTGGCTCGCCTGTCTCCAGGAGCCGCACTTTGGGAGTAATCAATCTTGACTCGGCGGCCGCCGGGAGGCGCAGGGCTGCCGGCCTCGAGCGCCCGATAGAACGCTGCCTTTGCAGAGGCGCCGTGAGATGCTGGAGGTGGAATCTGGATGAAGGGAAAAAGCGGGTCGACGAAAGCACGGGCGTGCTCGGTGCTTGTGAACTGGGCGAAGCCGAAGCCTTTCGAGACACCTGTTGGGCGTGCGAATACAGTGCAGGGATTGGGGGCCACGCAAGGAGAAAGAACACGTCAATGCACTGTTGAAAGCAAAGGAAGGACGAAGGGGCAAGTGCCTGTTGTTCTGTCTCGAATGATGGTGACCGACTCGATGCTGCAGCTATTGCTGGTCAGGTACGCCTGCATCTGGAGTTGGCTTGAGCATCCGTGACAAAGAGACGTGACAGCCCGCGTAAGCATACATCGGACTCTGTGAAGTCTGGGTCGAGACCGAGGAAGATGACATGAGGGCTGGGTTCGCTGGGAATGAGTCGTTTCTTGTTGTGGCCCCTTGAGTGGCGGTCGTCCTGATAGTGCCCTTGGTCGTAGGATTGACGGCCGTCGTAACTGGAGCTATCGTATGATTGAGAAGCATCGTAGCCCTGAGAGAAGACCTGTGAGACCCTTGCCGAGGGTGAAAGATAGGTAGCAAGTGCCGCGTACGCCGTCGTTATACTTTCTGCGCTTAGTGTCGCCATAATACTCCTCATCGCGCATATGGGTGGTGTTGCCTCTGGGAGCAGGCTGCCATGAGTCATAGTCTGAGTGCTTGCCCTGATCCCATTCCCTATTGTAGGCCATAGCGACGGGCGGGGAGGAACGAGAGAGTCGAGTAGGACCGGGGAGAACCAGAGGGAGGGAGATGATGGTGAGAGGAAAAGAGGTGGGCGCTTGTCTGGGCCAGCGACCACTCGGCTTGTCTTCGCCCACGACCTGCAACTCCAACTCTCCGCTGAGAATCCGCACGCCATGGCTGGACACGGTGCGCTCTTCGTCTCCAGTGGTGGGGTCAAATGCTCATTGAAACACGGTGATTCATAGGATATACCAAGGTAGCACTGACGAACTGCGTACCCTAGAATTCGGACTTACCACTGGAGCTCGCAGATCGACCCCGCCGTAGAGCGATGGAACACCATGGTGCGCTCTCACTCACTGCTTGTTCACCATTTCATCCTGCTAATAGTTCGGCTGGGGATAGCGAGAGTCGGTGTACAAGTACTTCCGCTTCAACTCGCGGACAACAAGACAGTCCATCTTGGGCATGATCGTCTTTCCCGCAGCAGTATACGCTATTGCCTACAACCAAGACGTACGCATCCGCGCCAGCATGTCTGCCTTCGTTGATCACTCAGTCCTCTTCCAGATGAAGTGGGATTGGACAGGCAAGCGCAAGGGCGAGTCCCTCACCCGCAACCCTCCGGCGCCCGAAGCGTCAGATTGAGCGGTGGATGCTTCTGGTTCCATTTGTCTCTGCTGCAACTTTATTACGGTATAGAGCACGCATGTTCTACATGTCCGCAGGAAAGCGTCTTTCAGAACCTCTTGCACAACTCGATTGCGACCTTGCACCCCGCGCCAACTACGGTGCTCAACAGTGCGTGCGCTGGAGCTTTCTGGGAGTCGTTCTCTACGGCGATCTCTAGGTGCTCTAGCTCGTCATCCCTAAACTCTTTGATAACCTCCTTCAACAAGGGTACGCTCGGATGATCCGAAGGTAGTCGCTCGAATGCCTTCAGTTGGCTGTGCGGGTAGAGCGACTCAGCGTGGACCTGGCGAAGTCATCGGGTAAGGGCTCACTCGTCGTAATGTTCGCCGATGACGGTCTCGACTGCTTCTGTGCATGCCATGGCAGCTTCCCTGCCCATCAGTGCGGTGATGGCCCCCAGGCCATAACCACCGAGACGAGCGACTTCCCAGAGCAACGTCGGCCGCACTCGGTGCTGTATCTGCATCTTGTTCATCACAGCGAGGTGCTTCTTCTCTTGGTTCCACATTTCCTTTGCGGCAAGGTCAGGATCGACGTGTCCGGAGACTGAGGATTGATTACTTGCTTGAATAAGGGGCCCCGTGGCTGGGTCACGGCCGAGTAGATCGTGTTGACCCTTGTATATCCAGTTCGCAGCGAGCTCTCCGGCTTGGTCAACCCTGAGTGCACTCTCCAGCTCTTCTCTCAGTTCTGGCGGGATGTTCTCGGGTGTTGTGGTAATGGAAGGGTCTCGTGAATGTGCGGGATCGACATAGGCACTGGAGGCGAGAAAGCGAGCGGCTGTCGAGTGTGCGTTGGTGACCGAAGCAACGGCGAGTCGTAAAGAAGTAGTGCGAGTGAGAGCAAGCATTATGGTGCAGAACCGAAGATTAAGGTGGTGAATATAAGGTAGCAAGGGCTGTGGTTGTCGTCGTACTGTGGAGGACCTTGGCCGCCCGGGACTCGGACGGACGACGTCAACGAGTCGGATGCCACATCTCCCGCTTATGGACATGCGGATCACGTGACTCGGACGCGACGGGTCACAGACGGGCGCTTTCTCGTCGGGACGCGTTCGATCGGTTCGTCTCCCGAGAGTCCCAGCAGCGAAGTACGCGGCTGTCCTTGGTCCCCAGCCTTGACTGTACATTCTCCACAAGTTCAATATGAGTGCTGCTTCTGCTACGTGCGTATGATGCTGCTGCCATGTACTACGTCTCTCTCAGCAAGGCCGTAGCTTCACTCCTTCCGACACCATTGACATGTCCAAGGAACGCGACTGGCCCGCGAAGCTTGGTCTGTCTCTCAGTGCATGCCTTCCAATCAATCTCTCATCTCGCGTTTGCAGGCATGATGGACTGGGACACCACCAAAATTGTCTTCACTAAGCGTTCCCTGGTCGAGTTTCTCAAGTAAGTCGCGTCTACCCCGAGCCGACAAGCGATGATGCACCCGCTAAGAAGTGGCACTCCCGCAGGTATGCTGGGGTGACCGTCGACCCGAACTTCACCAACATACAGAAGCTCCCTCGTACGTGATGATTGCGCGTTCCTACATCTGATGTGCTTCATTCGTGATGTCGATGTCAGGCTACGCAAAGTTCGGAAAGATGTCGGGTGACGCTGCTACCGTCGAAGAGGAAGCATCTCCCGCAACGGAGGCCACATCTGCTGGTTAGTCCAATTGCGAAGACTTGCATGTGACTCTCCACTCTGATATATGGCTCAAGAAATCGCAGCTGCAGCAGACTTCAAGCCTACTCGCCGCGTCAGGGATCCTCCGGGTGGGGCGACCCACCGCATCTTCGGCGACCCTGTAGACGATGATGCCCTTGCTACTGCTCCGCCTAAGCCTTCCGTTGCTGTAAGTGCATGGTCTCATGACGACGTCACCTGATCAGAACATAACCATTCTGTGTAGGCACAGGTGCCTGCTCCTGTGCAGTCCGCTGCTGAGAGTCCGGACAACGCGGCGGCGGAGAACGACAGCCGGCCAAAGTGAGTGCATCAGCAGCGCTGTTATTATACTCTGAAAACTTGATATACGCTGCGCTGCTTCAGGAGTCGAAGGACGACATCGAGCGTCGCTGCGCTCTGGGATGCGCCGGAGAATAATGAAGGCTTCAAGCCAACTCGTCGGTATGTCGCTCTTGTTTACGCTGTAATATCCGAAGATGGACTGACTACACACCCTCCCGCTCACTCTTCAGCGTTCGCGAGATGCCCGGTGGCAAGGATAGTATCTCCGGGGTAAGAGTCCAGCCGCTGTATGCACTCCGGGAATACACTAACATGAATTCGCGGATAGATCTTTGAGGCTTGATGCTTGTTGGTTTTAGTAATACATTACCTTGCGTCACGTCGTGATACCAAATTGGCTTTCGGCAGTGCTTACGAGTCTTCGGAGGTTTTGCATTGCGATATAGCATACTCGTATGCGTTCTGAAACAAGCAGTTGATCTATTGACAAAGGGTGCCTTCGCGCCTGCAGAGAATGCTGCAAGGGCTTGAGGGCAGAAAAAGGGACTGGTGGCGGCGAGGTTCGAACTCGCGCGGGATTGCTCCCATCGGGAATCAAGAAAGTTCTTAAATCCGACGCCTTAGACCAACTCGGCCACGCCACCCTACGCAATTACGCCGCACTTGTTCATCATAACAACACGGGGCCTAAAGAGTGAAGCAAACCAATGACACGAGCTACAGGCAGTGCTGAGTACTATATTTCCGACTCGCCGTTCTTTAGCATCTGGACAGCCCTGGGAGGCATCTAGCTACTGACGCCGGGGATTTCAGTTACTATCAGGGCTGTCCCGTAAGCTTGGCGATGCATGAAGGCAGCAGCAATGTCACCGAGGTGCAGAAACACTCACGCATCGCACGAGAATTCCCATTATCAGATGCGTATCATTGAATATTGCGGACATGAGCCTGAATGGTAGATGTACAACAGCCGAATATGCAGAGGTATAGGTTAAGTCGATAAATGGTCTGGTCGTCTCCGGTAGACCAAAAGTCCCGCGTGCACATGTTTACCCGCTGAAGCTCCATACACGGACGTCGCCATCGTCGCTGCCCGACACGATCTTGTCCTCGCCCAAAGCGAGACAAGTCACTGCACCCCGGTGCCCGACCAGGGTTGCCGTGCAGTTACCCTCTTCGCGCGACCAGACTTTGATCGTGCGGTCGTGGCTGCCGCTCACCAGCCGTAGCTTGTCGCTCGCGACGGCCCAGACGCCCTCAATGTGCCCGAAGAGCGTGCGCTGCACCTTGCCGCTGTCGATGTCCCAAATCTTGATCGTGTTATCGAGGCTGCCCGAGATGAGCACCGGCTTCTGGCGTTTCACAGGCGACCCTGGAGTCGCACTTGCCCGCTCCTGAGCGGGCGTGCGACGGGAGAGGACGGGAGAGGAGGTCGGGTGGGGCTGCGGCGAACGTCCGCCTGGAGAAGACTCGCGCGTTTCGGTGGACGCGCCGGGCATCGACGACTCAGCGCCGTTGCGATCCTGGTCGACCAGGAGCAGCTTCAGGCTCTGGACTTGCCCTACGTGACCCCTGAACTGGCGTACGCATGTGCGCAAGGAGAGATCCCAGAGACGGATTGTGCCGTCGTCAGATGCGGAGAAGAGCATCTTGCCGGGATCGATCTGAGGCGCTGATGATTGAGCACCGTTGTCGATTGTACTCGGAGAGGACCCACACCCAGACGAGGTCACATTGGAGTCCCACAACTGGACCGCATTGACCCAGTCGCAATGACCACGGAGCGTGAAGCACTCGCCGGTGCGGAAGTTCCAAACCTTGACGGTGGTGTCGACGGATCCGGAGGCAAGGACATTGGAGTCGAAGTTGAGGCAAACGACGCCCTCTGTGTGGCCCTCGAGGATCTTCACGCACTGTCCTGTACGCCAGTTCCAAACACGCATCGTGTGGTCCATGCTGCCCGTGATGAGCTTCACGGCATCGAACTGCAGAGCACGGATAGCGCGCGTATGCCCGACGAGCGAGTGCACCTCTGCGCCGGTTTCCAGGTTCCATACGCGCGCCGTGCGATCGTACGAGCCCGTGATGAGGACAGGGAAGGACGGATGGGCGAGAGTCTCAGAGAATTGCAGGCACATCACGCCATCGGTGTGTCCCTTGAGCGTGCGTACCGTACATCGTCCGCGACGCCAGTTACGCTCTATCGTGAGGCGCTCACAGTAAACGTCTTTCCACGGTCGCGTCTTGACATCGACGGAGGGAAGCTCGGAAGGGCTGGGCATGATGAGAGGATTGGATGGGTACGACGAGGACGGGACGGTGTGGGAGGAGGGAAGTGAGGAAGGAGTAGCCGCTCGCGAAGGCCCGTCATGAGCACCTAGGCGCTGCCTCTTCGCGACGTTTGGAGGACCTGAGTCTGAGTCATGGGGTCGTTTGAGGTGCGGGTGAGCCTGTGACGGGAGGTTAGGCGAAGGTGAGGGAGAGGCGGGCAGGGGGACGGGGCGGCGCCTCTCAAGGATAGGAAGGCCCCAGCCGCACTTGAGGCACTTCTGCCCGATATGCTGTTCGCAGATGCCGCGCCAGAGGATGTCATCGTCTGCAAGGCTCTTCCATTGTCGAGATACCTGTGCGGCGCGACATAGAGAGGTCGCATCGAGGTAGCCTAGGATTTTCAGAGAGACCTCGCGCGGAAGAATGGCGAACGGATCGATGCGGATGAGCTGCGCGAGTTGTTCGGTGAGAAGGGAGAGCTGGGAGAAGCAGCACATGGTGAGCAGGCCCTGGAGAATGAGGGCGCGGCGGGGATGTGGGGAGGACGAGAAGCTGGACCATATTGAACTAACGGCTTCGCGTTCTGCGACGGGTAGCGCATCCAAGGACTATGAACAGAAAGCGGAAAGATCAGTGAACGGTCCTCATGAGCAGTTTACGTATCAAGGGTGCCGCAAGGTCACTGCTGAGGTGATCGGGACAAGTCCGGAATGCGACCATGCGGGCGTGTTCATCTCTCGCCTACGCTCACAATGATATCTGACAAGCGAGCGCCGCCCTCTGCACCCTTCGGATAAGGGAGACTAGAGGACTCACCTGTTGGAGCTTCAAGTTGGTGCCCTCGTCGGCCATTCGCTGGTGTCTAACGCAGAGCTTGCGCGCCGGCGGCTGGGAGGGTACCTCCGCGGTCTTGACCTCGGGAACGGATGAGGACGCGCTCGCCTGCATGGGTGGTAACGATTTCGCTAGTTGCTCCGGAGGGTCCTGTGTTGAATCTGGGACGAGAATGGGGGCGTCGAAGGTGGTCACGGTGACTGGGGGTGAGGGCTGAGGCGAGGGAGTAGGCGAGCGGGAGCGGGAGCGAGACTTGTCGCTGGCGAGACGAGGCGCAGGGAGCGTGTCGCAGACGTAGGCCGCGTTGTTGCTGGGAAGCAACGGTGCGGACATGGCTGCGCTGAGCGACGGAGGAAGAGGAGGAAGGGGAAGGGGCGAAGAGGGATGGAGGCGGAGGAGGGAGAGGCGTTAAGTAGAGAAAGACTCGAGAGAGCGGGAAGGGCGCGACACGACCTTAGACGCCGACGCCCGGGATGGTGCCGGTCGCGTGAGGAGCTCGCGACATCGCGCAAACATTAGCCGCGCAGCGCTCGCCACATTCGCATTATTCAAAGGCCCACGTTCACAAAACAACACGCCTCGCCGACCCCACATATCGCGACATCCTTGCCCACATCACAAAGCATACAACACGTCCAGCAAACAAAACTCTTCAGGCTTCCATTACGGAGGATCGTCGTCAATTTCACAACACCGCGTGTGCATACAAACATCAGAGGACAGACGAGACGAGAAGAGATGAGACGAGCGCAGCCACAGCCCAGCCATTGCGTTTCAAGAGATATATGAATGAACGGAAAGAACGAGACTACCCCACCAGGGCCGCAACGAGCGGCGACAGCTGGTACGGCAGACCTCACCGAGTCGTGCGACGCAGACCGGCAAACACCACGGACTGGCGGGAGAAGAAAGGCATGCAAACGCTAGACGGAAGTTGAGAAAACGGAAGAAAAAAGGTTACTACAAGTCCCACCGCCCAGGGCAGAGACCGAGGCCGGGCTCAAGCTCTCGCTCTCGCTCGTCAGTCCAGCGAGATCCGCAGCTGATCCAATGGTATCGGCACAAACGAGTCCAGATGGATCTGGCGCGACGCCAATTCCGCCTCACAATGCGGCGGCACCAGCTGCCTGATCAAATCCGGTCGTACCGAAAGTTCTGCCAACAAGGCTGGTCAGCAACCTAGGAGGCGATCGCAGTTTAGGACAAAACATACCCTCCCGAGTGAAGTCGAACAGAGGCGGGAACTCCTTCCCATTAGGCATCTTCGCGCCCTCCTGCCTGAGCTCGTCAAAGAAGGGATGGCACATGGCCTCGACGGCGCTTAGACGCGCCTCAGGCGTGTACTCGAGCAGCTTCGAGACCAGGTCGATGGCCTCGGGTGCCGTGCGCGGCCGGAACACCTGAGGGAGCGTCTCAGCGGGGGATTTGGAGAACGGGACGAGAAGGTGTACCTTGGAGAAGGGATGCGGTTTGATCTGCGGGAATTTGTGCTCCATGTAGTTCGGGTTCATCGTCTTGATCTGCTCCCGTGAGGGAGTCCCAAGGACCTTGATGATCTCGACAAGCTGGTCGATGCCACTTTCGCCAGGGAAGAGGGGCTGACCGAGCATGAGTTCGGCCATGACGCAGCCGGTTGACCAGATATCTGGACGTAAGAGTGAGCATTGAGACGCAGGAGACATACGCGAGGCGACGGACCAATGTTGGTGGTGTAGTTGGTAGCGCCAAAGATGAGCTCGGGAGCGCGGTAGTAGCGGGAGCAGATGTAGCTGACGTTGGGCTCGCCGGGGACAAGGATCTTGGCAGAGCCAAAGTCGCAGAGCTTGAGAACGCCAGTGGCAGGGTTGAGGAGGAGGTTCTGGGGCTTGATGTCGCGGTGGCAGATGCCGATGGAATGGATGTACATGAGGGAGCGGAGGAGTTGGTACATATACAACTTGATTTGGAGCATGGGCATGGGTTGCTTGAGCTTCGCGTAGTGACGGCTGGCGCGGTAGACGGTTTCCGGGACGTATTCGAGAACAAGGTTGAGGTACACTTCATCTTTCTTTGGATTGGGAGAGGGCTGATGTCAGTCGCGGCACGCCAAAGGGGAATGCTATGCGGTTGACGCGGAGGCGCACGAAAGGACGAGGCTCACCTTGTCGCCGTTGGAGTAGAAGTAAGCTTTGAGATCGACGACGTTGGGATGTGATACAAGTCTCATGATCTGCAATTCACGGTTCTAGGGTAGAGAAGAGGATGGGCGAATGAGAGGTGCGGCGGAGAGGAAAGCGTGAGGAAGAGAGGGCACGGACCTTGAACCTCTTGTCTTGCAAGACCTTCTTGATGGCGATGTCGCAGGTAGGAGAGTCGTTTTCGAGGAGCTTTGCCTGGAAGACGATGCCAAAGGAGCCATTTCCGATGACCTTGCAGTTTGTGTAGACAAGGTCGCATTCCTCTCCGGTCTTGCCATTTGAGGCTTTGACCTTGACGATCTTGCGGGGATCGTCGACTGCTGTGGAGTAGAAAGAAGGGAAGAAGAGCAAGGTCAGTGAGG